AAGCAATTTCAGCTCATTTCTACTTTTATTGATTTTATAGAGTCATGAGCAGGCTTTGTCTTTAGCAAACTGTATAGTTTTGCTAGTGATAGGAATCTTCGGTAGGAATAAAAACCGGTTCAACGCCACAAACGCGATTTAAAGAAGCAGGTTGCACAATAAATTAGCATCAATGCCAATGGTTCGTGACATCACACTTGAGATGCTTACTATTACCCTTAAAATTTAAAAAGTCCGCACAATTGACTGTCTATTACCAATGGACTTGCATCTGTGGAACCTGTTACCCATCAACCGGTTAGGATAGAACAAAATAAAATCAACACCAAGTTAATGTGAGTTCCTTCCTGTCTATTCTTTATAAGCATTTTACTCTCCAGTACATTATATTGACTTGCCATGTCACCACTAGTTACCTTGTCTATAACTCTGAGGGCACAGCTATGGAACTTCTGATATCTGGAGTGGGCTAGACGTACGTGTTTTCCCAAGGTCATAATTCACACCAAGCGCTCTACGTGTCTACTTTATAACAACTATAAACTTAAAAAGTTGCATTGAATAAATACTTAGAACGACCAAAATCCTAACACAATAATGCGGAGATTGAATATGGTATGTGACGTGGACGCGATGCCACTTTGGAAAATATTTTGAAGACTACTCAGTATATCTGAAGGAATGGACTGATATTCACTTTTATTGTTTCACAGTGCGCATTCTAAATAAATATAGTTTATAAATGTTGTAATTTGTAGATCATGCCTGTAAAAATGGCGTGTACCTGCCATTGCAGAAATTTATTACATTATATTAAGCTAGCTAGAGGTTGTAGATGTGAAGCACAGAGTAATCACTGGTGCGGGATCAAACACCTTCAGCTGGGTGAGACTATCAAAACTAATGCGGCCTGCGTTAAATGTCGAAGACTCACAGAGACATTGATTTTGAGGATTTATTTACCGCTACGGGCCCGATAATCTCTCTACTGTGGTTCAATAAAACAATATGTACCCTACTCCGTAGGAGCAGAAAATCCTTGAAAAGATTTGGGTCACTGTGTACTGACAAGACAAAATATCAGCACCGGGAAGCTCAATTAGTTTATGCCTCCACAAGATTTGGAAATGGTATGAAGATAAACTCGTTAAAAAGTCTATAGAATACCCCAAACGCTTCCTTTCGTATATAAACGAAAGGAATTAAAGAAAAGGAAATATTTGAGCACTATGGGAGACAGTAGTACTTCATCGTTAGTGCGGGACGAATATGGTAATGGTCAGGTATTCTCATATTACTTTAGCAACGCATGTACCTTACAAATGCTCCCCCCTCCAGTTCATATAAACCTTTTCTCACACACTTTCTGAACACTGTGACCACTAAAAAACGTGATATCTTTGGTTTGCTAAATAAGCTTGATATAGGAAGACAGGTAGGACCCTATGAAATGCATCCTAGGTTACTAAAGGAACTCGCAACGTCTGTTGCGTATCCCTTAAGCATATTTTAACCTATCTGTTACTAAGGATCGATTACCAAACGACTGGAAGTATGCTATGGTAGCTTTTGTCTTCAAAACTACTACACACTGCCGTGTCAGAGCCATCAATGGTCAATACTTAAGGCCTTTAGCCATGTCGACGCTAAAATTATTCTGACTTTGTATGCAGCATTTATGCGTCCTAAACCTGAACACGGTATATAAGCGGCTAGACGAAGCTTAAAAAAGAAGTTGAGTCTTTGCAAAAGGCTCAGCGAACCTCAATTCAGCTGACTACCAAAACAGGGGACCTCACGTATAATGCACGACAGGCTAAACTAAACCTATTCCCATTGTCATATAGAAGTACCAGAAGGTAGTTGATTACAGTTTTTAAATTACGTAATGACAAATTTTCATCTGATAGGTTCTCACTTTTCTTGATTTACCGAACAGAGGATTTACAAGGACACTCCTTAAATTTTGCGTGCCCAGAACAAATCACTTGTCAGCTGACTACCAACCTTCCCACAGAATCATCAACCATTGAAGTTTATCACCTCAACACGCAATTGAAGCTCTATTTGTCGACGCTATCAAAAGAACGTTAGATCGACTGAGAGCCCGCTGTTATCAGGAATAACACAGGCGACCCAGACTTCTGTCCTTTTCAAAATGAATAAGAAATAAGCTTGCGATATGTAAAAGAACTGTGATATATTAGCCCACTCAATACATTTTTATGGTCTTCATAGTTCATTAGGCATTATGACTGTCTTTTATACTCATCACTATCTGCAGTTAAATCAATGAAAAAAGTGTCACATTAATTTTTCTTGTATATCTACTCTTTTAGGGCACGAAAGTTTTTTCGGATATTATACTTTTGGATTTAACATTTTACCGTTCTTATAATGAAGATGACTATACCTTCTCTGACAAGTCATGGTCACAAATTCTTAATCCTTCTACGATGTATAGATAGGTAACCTCATGCCATCAAGCGTGTTGAATAAGGTTATTTTTTTGGACTGAAGCTTTAAATGTGACCCAAGTGAGTGTTATCTATCTTTGATTAAGAGCATATGATATTAGAAGCTTTTCTCAAGCGAGATCGTAGAATTATGACCTACTTCGATATTAGTACTGCTCTAATAATAGACCTAGTCCTAAAATTGTGGACTTGTTGTGACGTAACTGTGTAATTCACAAGATCTTACATGGAAGTCACATCATTGTCTACCATGATTCATGGTGTTATAACAGTAGGACTCTAATTTACGGACGAGCCAATCAGAAGCGTTTGAGGAATTCAAGGTCACGGCGCTAAGTTCAATGCGAGATGCTCACATTCGATCGCTTTACAGCAGATTTTAGAGAAGAGGTGATTGTTGAGCGACTACAATAGATAGGACTATTAAGAAGTTCCTGTATCTGTGACTGCGGCAATCAAATGACTGTAGAACGATGTGCAGACTACCGTGATGACATTGTATTTCGTTGAACTATATGTTGGAGAGAAAAATCTGCTTGAACTGGCGCTTTCTTTGCGCGATCACGGCTCGGGCTCAGACAAATCATGATAATTGTGGCAAATTGGATCATAAAGTCTCCAGTAACATTAGCTGCGGCTTTTGCAGATGTCACAAAAACTTCCGCTGTTCAGTGGTATGAATATTTCCGTGATATGTGCGCAATGAAAATGACACAAGTACATGTATCATTTGGGGGAGTTGGGAAGATAGTGGAAATAGATGAGACAGTATAGGTACTTGGATTTTACGATCGTTCAACTCAAAAGGGACATTTTTTAAGACCCTACCACGGCTCCAGAGGACGATTATTATGGAGCCATATAGACGAGTTCCTATACCGCATGCATTATGATTGCAAAACTTCTGAACCTTTATCAAACCTTGACAAGTTCCTAAATCATGTGAAAGAAGAATATCCATTGTAATTCATCAGTTTTTATAATATATTTTTACTTTACACTAACTCTCTTCTGATTGGCTAATGTTCTCAAGGTCAATTAAACATGCTTTCAAAGGTCGTCCATAAAATAGAGTTTCACCGAAAGATTATTTAAAACAATATGATGAATGGTTAGTAAAATAATTTTAATATCACTAACTAAACTTGACTACTGAAATTTAATGCCAAGCCATTGAAAATTAGAAAGTGCTAAATATCTGACTCGCAATTATAACGCCACACTGAGTTGAACACATGATTTTCAGGTTATCATGGATTAAAGTAGTAATCCACAATCCAATGTTACATAGTTCTTGGTCAGTTTCCATGGAGTATTCCAGGTTACTGCTTGCCACGTGATGCATGTGATAATCTCCTCAATGAATAATAATAATAATAATTTATATTCTGAAAAAATTATAATTACAGAATTCACGCCAGTTTACAGGCATGATCAATTTGATATAAATGTCCCATACACCTAAAGATTCTTTTTCTTATTTCATTTTCACTTGAAAGCTGGCCGGTTATCTCCTACAGTAGGTTGTTGCTGATGGTATACGGTCAACATTTTGTGTAGGCAATTGTTAGTAAAGGCCTATATTTTTCTTACTTCTCGGCCGATACTGACGATAAATATTGTGATAGTTCTCAAAGTTTCAGCTCCATACATTGGAACTGTATTCACGTTAGTATTGAAGATGATGGTTTGCAGACAGTTGCTTTGAGTTCCATATGTTCTTCAGTTGAAGGAATGCTGTTCTTGCTTTACCAATCATCGCCTTAACGTCTGCATCGGGTCCTCCTTGTTCACCAATGTTGCTGACCAGGTAAGTGAAAGAATCCATCTCTTCCGGAGTTTCTCCATCAAGTGTGCTCTGATTGGTGTTCTCTGTGTTGAATTTGAGGATCTTGGTTTTCCCTCTGCATACGTCGAAGTCTACTGTTGCAGAGGCTGCTACTACACTAGATGTCTTGACCTGTACTTATTGATGTGTATGGAATAGGTAATTAACGAGGTCCAAATCTTCCAATTCATTCCGAACAGTCCATTATGTTTGGTGCTTTCCCTCAGATGTCGGGGTCTTCGTTCTCCCGTCTGTTATCACAAGGCAGCATTGCCGCAGGTACTTGTTGTCCAGGGGAGGCTCCTTACTACTGTCGCACTCCTTCACAGTCAGCAATACGACTTCGCCCTCGGACATTAAGTTGATGCTTTTAATCTTACTATTCTCCTACCGACTTGCCTGGCGTGGTGGGACCTAAAGGAGCATGTGTTTTAGCCAATATAGTTCTATTGAGTCGTCACGATAGACATTCTCAAACGCGATGTCAAGGTAGCGGCTACGGTCGTGATGAGAACTAGTTAGCTAGTTGTGTTTTTCATAACCACTTTGTTGTAATTGTTGCACTCTATGAAGGCATCATATTATAGTTAGAAGTAATTATATGGAATCTAAAATGTTCATGGCCAACTTTGTACTGATCGACAATATAATTATGTTCTTGACCAGCTTAACTTTATTCCTTTTATTTTCTTACTAGATGGGTTTAACTAAAAAAATTGTGTCTCCAGCTGATTTACGTCAGTGGACTTCTTCTATCGCTTGTAATGAGATTCTTAACCTAATAAATAGTGTCAATAGTAAATTGGTCTCTCGTCCAATCCAGGATAATTTAAAATCTTCTAAGGTGTTTTGGAAGTTACTATTATAAATGTAACTGTTTTAGGCCATAATGTTGGTATGTGAAATGCTTGACAAGTTGCAGCAAGCAGTCGAAGATTACCCACCTGAGGAGCAGCCGCAAAGATTTGGAAATAAAGCATTTAGGCGATGGTTTACATGGTTACAAGAGAATGCCATTGAAATTAGTTCAACTATTTTCCATGATCATGGTACCACAGATTTTACTGATCCACCAAGTTAGTTCATTGTAAAACTAAAATATTAAGTTTATTTGTTTTTGTATTTCTATATATTGATTCTCTCTCAATACCTTTCTTAGGGTATTGATGTGAGTTTTGGGAAATTCAATAGATATATTTTCGTTCCAAGTCTGTTACTGGGACATAGATTGGATTTAAGCATGCTCAATGCACGATTGCTTTGGCGCACGCTGATTAGCTGATTCTTATCCAATCAGCGCTAGTCGATACATGGAGAAGACTCTAGATTCTTCTTATGTAAAAACTATAAATATACTAACGGTTTTCCTTTTGTGCTTCTTGCTTCCATCTAACCTTGTTATTTGGAATATAATCTCCTTGCTGCCCAACCGTGTTCTGATTTGGGGACTTGTCGAGTGAATTGGTGTCCGTGAATACGAAGCAATAGGAATAGCTGGGTTAAAACCGTAAGAGAGAAATTATAACAAAGTCTTTTATTGTCTTTTACTGACTGGTGAAAATTGAAAAATCTTCAGTATTCACTTCAATTGACAGCTTTGTTGTTCTTAAAATGATTATTTTGAAAGTTTAGTGTTGGTTCTAGTTGGATTGGCTTTTTTTTATGTTTGTTAACTTTTGACATTATTGCTATATTTTAAGCTCAATTATGCATATCATTTTCTCCATTGTATACATAGATTTAACAAGTTGCAAGACTTTATGTTTTTCTCCAGAGGTTCCGCTTCTTATTTTTAACTTTGTACACATTCGTCTTTTTTCAATACTATATTTTGAGAGACGATGTCCTTTGTAAGGCTTTACTTTTACTAGTACTTACTTACGCCTGTTACTCCTCGTGAAGGAGCATAGGCCGCTCACCAGCATTCTCCATCCAACCCTGTCCTGGGCAATCCTTTCAAACTCTTTCCAGTTCTTATTCATCTTTTTCATATCTGCTTCTATTTCCCGACGTAATGTGTTCTTTGGCCTTCCTCTTTTCCGCTTCCCTTCAGGATTTCAAGTTAGCGCTTGCCTCGTAATTCAGTTTGATGATTTCCTCAATGTATGTCCTATCCATTTCCATCGTCTTTTCCTAATTTCCTCTTCCGCTGGAAGCTGGTTGGTTCTCTCCCACAAAAGGCTGTTGCTGATGGTATCCGGCCAATGGATGTTGAGTATCATGCGTAGACAGCTATTAATAAATACCTGTACCTTCTTGATGGTGGTTGGTTAGTTCTCCAAGTTTCAGCTCCGTACAGTAGAACTGCCTTGACGTTCGTATTGAAGATTCTGACTTTGATATTGGTTGAAAGTTGTTTTGAGTTCCATATGTTCTTCAGTTGAAGGAATGCCGCTCTAGCTTTGCCAATCCTTGCCTTGACGTCCGCATCTGAACCTCCTTGTTTATCGACGATGCTTCCCAGATATGTGAAGGATTCCACGTCTTCCAGAGTTTCGCCATCAAGAGTGATTGAATTGCTGTTCTCCGTGTTGTGTTTGAGGACCTTGGTTTTCCCCTTGTGTATGTTGAGGCCTAGTGATGCAGAGACTGCTGCTATGCTGGCTGTCTTTATCTGCATTTGTTCGTGTGTATTTGATAGGAGGGCTAGGTCATCGGCGAAGTCCAAGTCGTCTAATTGGTTCTGAGCTGTCCATCGTATGCCGTAGTTTCCCTCAGATGTCGAGGTCTTCATAATCCAGTCGACCACCAGAAGAAACAGGAAGGGAGAGAGTAGACAGCCTTGTCTTACTCCGGTCCTTACTTGGAATGCGTCTGTCAGCTGTCCTCCATGCACTACTTTGCACTGTAGTCCATCGTATGAGTTCCGGATAATGTTGACAATCTTCTCAGGAACTCCGTAGTGTCGAAGAAGTTTCCATAACGTCCTCCTATCTACACTGTCAAATGCCTTCTCATAATCATTGAAGTTGATGTAGAGTGACGAGTTCTACTCAATTGATTGTTCGACGATGATCCGTAGTGTCGTAATTTGGTCTGTGCACGACCGGTCCTTACGGAATCCAGCTTGTTGATCTCGAAGTTGAGCGTCTACTGCGTCTTTCATCCTGTTCAGTAACACTCTGTCACTTTTACTAGTACTGATCTGTTATTTTCGCAGTTTACAAAATCTCATGCTCATTCTTTTGTAAATTGTTGGTGAAATTAGTTTCATAACAGGATGTTAAAGCGTTAACTTACCTTATCCACTTCAGAAATTCAATATTGTAACAAACTGCATATCTTATTCAAAACTGATGTAGTTTAAAATATGTAGACTAGAGCAATGGAGACGTTATTTATAGCTTTAATTTCTTAGTCATTATTAGCTCTAAGTCTTATGGTCACAATAAATTTCAACCATTTTCGACAAATGAAAAGATAAGTTTTTCAAAACAAGTCATTGATGTCACTTATAGAGTGGTAGTTTTGTCATGCAGAGTTATTTTAATTTCTCACAGTGCTATAAAAGATACCAATATACGAATTTATTAACTTCAGTCTCAGAAAATATATTTAATTAGATATTATTTATTTATTTGAACACATAAATATTGGTACAAGAGGGCAACAAATATATATGTGCCACACAAAATTTTATTTGTGTGTGGGCTGTGATACTGCCCGGGTTCCCAAACCGAAGCAGGTGGTTTTCTCAGGGGGCCACACTCCTAGCCTTTGATCTGAAGGTCTGATCCACAAGGCAGTGGATCATGGTAAGGAGATGCAGTCCGATGGTAGCCGGTGACCAGCAATTGGTTCATACGCCATATGTTCCTTTAGGATACTGGAGCCCATGTGCACCATTGATTTGTGATTCGATTAAAGCGCCGGAAATTCGCTTTTCGTCCTCTCATTTTCGTAGACAACAGTAATGCCACGAGAAGGTAGTGAGGACTTCCCTGGCAGATGCTATATACGCATGGCCATGTGAGAGCATTTCGAGAGGGCATTTGGTTCACTGAATGAATGTCCATGCGATTCACCAATTGTTTTAAGCTGAAAAATATTTTCCTGTTACTTTATCCATAATACTTCTTTGACTTTGGGTCATTTTTTCTGGTCCCAAAATGTTATTTATGTTGATATGTGTTTTTCGCTGAATGGCTTAAACACGTAAATCCCAACCATTAAATTATAGACTTAAATCGGGCTCTGTCAAGGGCAGACGAATGATATTTTGAGCTTTCACCTAACAAATGCAATTCAAAGTTAAGTGAACGCAATTATAATTATGTACCAACTACTAAAAACTATACTGTTGAAATAGAGCGAACATTTCACAGCATAATTATGACTAAAGTGGCTTTGATACGTAAAAATAGCTCCATTTAACGGTTTGAAAAAGATCACCTCGAAAAATTATACCGTTCTCTTTAAATAATTGTATAACAGAGACATGAAAATTAAGCATAATTAGATTCTTCAAGTAAATATGCTTACTTTGTCACACATATAATAATCTTTTGCCTTTGAACTCTACGTTACATTGTTGACCATAACTTTCTGGCAAAGATGATACTGTTGAGATTAAATTTCTGGTTTCTACCCGATGGTTATTAATATTGCAATTTAGAAAGTACATTTTAATTTAACAGCAACTTGAATATCGTCTTATTTCAACTAATAACTCCCGCTCTACAGCCCCTAATTCGGTTGACATCAGGAAGAGTCCGCTTTTCATTCCGATTCTATCATACCGCCGCATAATTTTAATTCTTTTTAGAGAATCGCCAGTCAATACCTTAATTTGATTGTGGAAGTTTCTATATATAAGGGAGTTGGAAAACCTTGATTCCAAACTAGTGTTACATATAAGATCTAGGATTAAAAAGAATTAATAAATAACCACTGACTATCCTAAGAATCCATTTACTAATATGGCTTTACTGCTTTTTTGGATTAAACCTATAAGTCAGAGGCTTTGTGATGTGATCTATGAAAGCCACGCTTGGTTAGAATCTCTAATCAACATTCATGGGATTCATTTTTACTTTAACTTGTACTATGAGTACGTTTATTCAAGGATTTTCTTTTCACATTAAAACCAAAAAATTCTGTACAATCTATCCTTTGTTTTGAATATTTTATTATTAGTTTTTATGTAAAAATTTAGACGATGTAATCTACTAATATGTATTACTTTTACATTTTAATTGTACCATTTTTATTCAGTGTCATACACCGAAGCAGTTGATGAAGTTTCTGGTTATCTAGTTGAATCATTTGGAAATTCAACACGTATTGATTACGGAACTGGTCATGAATTGGCTTTCTTAGCGTTTTTAACTTGTCTTTTCAAACTGAACATTCTAAAAACACAAATTGATTCTGGTTCATCAACTATAAATGATCTTCTAGCTGTTGGGCTTGTTGTAATGCCAAAGTATTTAGTATTAGTTCGTCTGTTACAAACAACATATCGTATGGAGCCAGCTGGCTCTCATGGTGTATGGTGTTTGGATGATTTTCAATTTGTACCTTTCATTTGGGGCAGTAGTCAATTGATTGGTAACTGGTTTCTGTTTTTTAATAAGCATAGTACCGTGTAAATAATCTGGTCGTAAATTCTTACTATTATAAAATTTGTATTCAGTTGTTCACTTGAAAAGGTGATAAATTCTTAAAAGTACATTTCATTACTCTATTTAGGATTGCATACCCAACTCCTCTGGTAAACACAGGTATTAAACTATACAAAGATGGCGAAATAATACATATAACTCATTTACCAAGTATATGTATATGTATTCGCCTTTAAGTCAGATTTTGGTTTTGTGTGGATGTTTGTGTAATGCTGTTACCTGACTATACAAGTCGAAACAGGTGGGAAAGGGTTCGAACTTGTGAACTTATTGTTAAAGTTCAAATGTTTTAACTATCACTCTTACTTATTGAATAATATTCCTTGATGTAAGATATGGCTACTGCAATTTCAACATATCAGTGCTTCACATTTATTAATAAATTACCTGAAACATCCGAACTTCCAACAATATTGTATAATATATAGTAGCTAATTTATGAAGGGAAATTTCACTCACAAATTTAACTTTGTTTTTTTCGCAACTCATTCAAAACTTTCAGGCAGTCAGCACAATCCTACTGTGATAACAGATCGTGATGTTGTTGAATTGGAGAAAGATAAATACCTTTTATTTTCATGTATTGCTTATATTCATCATGTGAGTAGTTTTAATTACTTATTGTAAAGGATCTGTATGATAATTTTTGTTATGATTTCACTTGGCAACCAGCAAACAGTGTATAAAATCTCATATTATATGTTTAAGACAGAAAAATTTTCCTGTGGAAAAATAAATTCATCCTTCCCAACCTTAGCTTCTGCCTCAACAAGGCATTTGAACTTGTTAATCCGTAAAGACTCAATCTAGCTACATTAGCTGGAACACATTTTCATTAATTTGTCATATTACGTTGAGGAAAAGGCCGTAAGAAGACCAGAAACAGCAGATTTGTAATTCAGTGGTAAAATTTACTACTGTTTATAGTGTGTAGTGACAGTAACATATTTCTTGCCATCCTCACTGTTGGTACTGCCTTCTCGCAGATAGAAGGATAGGTTAGAGATTGACTGCAACAATAGCACATCTCATCAGGTTGGCTTTAGACCTGGTCGTGGCTATATCGACCACATATACACCATTCATCAGATCTTAGGACACAAGCATGCATTTCGGCATCCGGGCTCTACTTTTTTATTTAAGCACATAAGCATTGGTACAAGGAGGCACCAAACAGATATGCGCCGCATAAATCATCCGACTTGTGTGAGGGCTGGGATACTGCCCGGGTGCCCAAACCAAACCAGGTGGTTTTCTTAGGGGGCCACACTCGGAGCCTTCTACCTAAAGGTCTGATTCACAAGGCAGTGGAGCAACGTTAGGAGATGCAGTCCGACTGTAGTCGGTGGCCAAAAATAAGTTCATTCGCCATCTGTTCCCTCAGGATCCTGGAGCCCATGTGCACGATTGGTTTGGAATCAGGGTTTTCCAACTCCCCTCCGTATCCACTAACCCGGTTAAAGCGCCGGACATTCACTTTTCGTCCTCTCAGTTTCGTAGATTCCCGGAACAACGGAGGTAAGGTTGAAAGTGCACCGAGATAATTTTATAAATATGTTTGTACACATGGCCATGCTTATGATGGAGTTTTGTTCGCTGAGCTGGATGGTTTGGTCGTCCAGCTTTCATCGTTCTTCTGAACGATATCATCAGCACAAATTTCGGGTAGAAGTGAAGTGTTCGAATTTCTGCACATATGGTTCGCAGCTTGTCTTTTACACCTAAATATTGATTGGTTCATGTTGACCTTAAACCTATCATTGTTTACTTTGTTTTGGTTGTATCCCCGATTGGTTTGATTTTTGTTTCTATGTTTGTCCATAATTCTCCTGATTGGTTGATAAATTTGATTGATTTCAATGTGCTCGTTGATTGACCTAAGTGTCAAGCTTCTAAAAATTCTCTGGTGTTTTTGGAGTTGCCTCTATACAAAATTTCCACATTCGAATGTGTCCGCCGTTGTCCACGTGCATTGATATAAGTAAAGACATATTGTGGCGTTTGACTGCTAATTGATGTTCATGCAGGCGAAGGTAAAGAGGGCGTCCTCTTTGTCCTATGTAGTGTTTTTCGCAGTAGGCACTATTTATTTTGTAGATGGGAGACACAACTAAAACAAAGAAGTAAACAATGACAGGTCTAAGGTCAACATGAACCAATCAACATTTAGGTGTACATGACAAGCTGTGAACCGCATTTGGAGAGATTCGGACACTTCACTTCTACCGGAAGTTTGTGCTGATGATGTCGCTCAGAGTAACGATGAGAGTCCCACGACCAAACCATACAGCTCAGAGAACAAAACTCCATCAAAATCATCCACCTGAGATACAAATCTTCTCCACCACATGGTCATGCCTCAGACAGATGTCCATTGGACCAGGCTTTTATACGAGACGTTCATTTTTCTAGTTTATTTCATATCCCTCAAGAAAATGTAATAGTAAAGGAGTGTTTTGTTGACAAGTAAATCAGATTTAAGATAACTGCTCTTGGGCTTTAGCGCGAAATTAAAAACACAAAACGGATAGTTTGTACCTTATTAAAAATTTGTATTTTATGGTCAGTGTTTTTATGCTCTCCGTCTATTTTAGATGTAAAGCATGGCCCTTAAGCGTTACATTCAAGTTTTGAGTAATTGTTCATAGGGTAAAGTCAGCCATTTTATAGAAAGGCATCAATTTTAAAGTCATGGCTTGTTGATGTGAAAGTTTTTGACAGTTATTCACCTCAGACAATGAACGGAGAGTTGCACAAGTTCATTGATCGATCGAAGTCAGGTATTAACACCTTTGGATGCCAGCTCAGTGGTTTAGAGTTAAGGTGTTCACGCGCGAGACCGAGGGTCCTGGGTTGAAGTCCCGTGTGCAGGATTATGGATGCACACTACTGAGGGGTCTCATACTAGAACTGAACGGCTGTTCAGTGCTTCCAGGTTTTCAATAGTGGTCTAGCCTAGATCGACTCGCGATCTCAACTGTGAAGATGCGTAATTTTCAGTTTATATATATTACATCGTAAAATATCATGTGACACTGTGTTGTGATAAGATTCAATCCCAATCATACTGGTACACAGTCGCGTTCATTTTTTGTAATAACGCTAGTGCTGAATACAAGACTCTGAGATATGTTTCTTTATTGATGTGTGGTCTAGAATGATAATGATTAGTTTTTTTGCTTAGTCAGACTTGTAGATAGTCTGACAGGCGTTAGATGAGTTATATATTCTCCTGTCCTTATTATTATTGATTGTTAATTGTTGTTGAATTGAGTCTGATTTTCATCGATTTTGGTGTGGAAATATGTTTACAGTCTAATCAGGCTAATCATGTGTTCTTGATCTGAGTTGTGTTGAAGTCCTATAGAATAGATACTGGGAGGGAGTCTAGTGTAGATATTCGTCTAAAGCAAACTAACATCTGATTCGTGTAAACGTGGAAAACTTTGTGTTATAACACTTATTTATTCCTTTTAAGTTTCTTTTTCCAATCATTTACATTTATTGTTGCTGATTTTCTCCTAATTGTGCTAATTTAAAATATGGCATTGTAAGTGATAGAAAGTAGTTGACAGGGAACTCTGGAACTAGGTCTTATGCTAGCTGATACTTATCAACGAAGTGTACCAATCTTGAGGAAATTAATGCTATGTGTGGTATTCAAACCCACATAATCGAGATTCGTAGTCTGAGACTTTAACACTGAGCTATTGAGGTTGAAGAGTGTCAGCTAAATCAAAACTTGAGTCCAGAGTTTTCTTCCTTCAACCAACTAACATCTCAACATAATGCACGCGGCGTTGAGTCACTTAAATGAGTGACTTCATTGCAATTTAGTTGATAAAATCTGCTCAGCGGTGAAAGATTAGATTAATGTAAGATTGTTCACTACTCAGTAATGCGTCAATTGTGAAGTGTAGCAATTTTGTTTACTACGTAATTTTGTACATTTACGTATAATATTTCGATTTATATTTGCTCATATTTTATTAAATTGTTACACTTCGAAGTGTACTTCCAACTATATTTGTTGGTGGTAGGTAAAGCTTATGATGACTTACTCTAGCAGTTGTTATCTATTGTGTGGCATCAAAAGAGAATGTAGATTCATTCATCGTTAAAGGGACTCTATTTTGTTCACCGAAAACATGTTGGTAGGTGTAGACAACCTGATTGGGAACCGCGAGATGATAGCAACCGATGGTCACAGACCCTGAATGACATGGCTCAAAATCGTTTGCAATGGCGCAGATGCATCCACTCTTTGTGTTCTCTCAAATTCTAATCTGAATTTTTAATGTCCCTTTTTTCCTCTTTCCAAATTTATTTCACTGTATTATACTGCTTGAATAACATCTTCAAACCCTAGTGTTTCCGATTACTGCTTATACTCTTAGTACCTCTACCACTATGGGATTTGAATCGACAACTGTATCTCTGTGTTAATGTGGTATGACAACTCGAACTGATGTATGTACGTATGAAGTTCTACGTTGTTACTGACTGACTGACTGACTGAAAACTTCATCCTGGAATACACTTTTATGTAATATCCAGTTTTTGAAAACTATCAAAATTCTCAAATATTAAATTTCCATTAATTTACTACTAGTGTAAAACTGGTCCATTTGAAGAACATTCACATACATTGTATGGAATTAGTGAAGTACCGAAATGGGAAAAAGTTAATTCTGGTTTAATTAAAATGTATAAAGGTGAAGTAAGTTACTTTTATGCTTAACTCCTCATTTCAGTTGATTTATACTGTTGGAATTGTAATCAATACTTTTTATTGATACATAAGTTATATGTTAAAGCAAACATAGATTTTATAGGTTGATATACAGGATTCAACATAACTTGCTGCATAAACGTGAATATTTTTGAAATGTTGATTATTGTGAACGATAAACGAGATCTATCCTCTTCTTCTCAATACTGCCTAGACAGACTTAAAGAATATTCTGATCAAATAAAAAAACTACGTTCCAATAGTTGCATATATATATATATATATATATATATATATATATATATATATATATATAACCTTTGACTTGAAGGTGATAGTTTCCCACATTGAGACACACTCAAATTAATGATGAAATTATCTCGCTAGAATCCTCTGTGAATCCTGTGAATATACTTCGAGAGAATTGAGTACATTCTTGTCATTATTTTCTTTGACCCAGCTAACATTGCATTGCTAAGTGCTAATCGGAAAAGTCAGTCACGTTCGGAGGCCACTCCATTTACTTTGGTCTGAGAAAACCGATAGTTGGGACTTCTTTTTGTTTCCAACTACTTAACAGTAACTAATTAATAACCATATTGATTATATTAACTTGTTAAATACTGTCTCTATTCAGTCCCTAATATCTAACTTTTGTTTATAAGCAAAGATGGATAGTGGCTAGTAGTGGAATCCAGGACGCGTGTTTCGTCCTATTTGGGACTCGTCAGCTGGATGTACCTGCATCTCACAGTTGATGTTCACTCTGGGACTCGAATCAAGGCAATATTGAGGCCTAACACACAGTATACATATATGCCAATAAGAGACTGACTAATTTCAGTCCTAAACATCAATGGGAAGATTCAAATAAAACAATATCAAGTGAATTAACTTTTGTTTAGTTTAATCATATTTTCCCATAGCAATCAATCTCTCAACTTGATTCTCTTTTTTTTTTTAAAAATAATTTTTAGGTTTTAGAAAAATTTCCAGTTGTTCAACATTTCCTATTCGGTCGTTTATTATCATTTGATAGAGTACAAAATAGTAAACCTTTGGGTAGTGGAATGAATATTGGTGGAGGTTTTAGTCAACGAGGATTTATTCCTTCAAATATTGATTCATTTGTAAAACCAATTTCATCGACAATTCAGCAATCAAATCAACACGATGAAAAATCGTAGAGTTGATGGATTATTCTACATATAATGACAAACTCGACTTTTTTTTCTACTTAAATCTTAATCTTCTTTTTTTATGTATTGTTCACATAATTGATCATGTATATAGATGCTTGGAATGACCAAAATTTTCAACGTTGGCTTTTTTGTTTTGTTTATAAACGGCTTCGTAATACAAGTTTGAAATTGGTCGTAGACAACGTAGGATCTAACAGGAATGTGTATCAGCTCGAGTTGCTACATATCAAATAAGCACAAGTGAGCAAATTAACAAAACGAAAGTTAGATGAAGGTAAATAATAACAATGTCCGAGTGATTTCACAGAATGGAGTTATAGAATATGTTGGGGACGATAGATCCCCAAAAACTCATAGTTTGTAATTTGTCTTGTGGAGCTTGTATGCAGATGTATACGTGGGCATTTCTTACCACCCACGCACGTAGTTGATTGACGAACTATCGATTAAAATGTTTAAAAGCTCCATGACAATATCGATGTATATATAATTGTATATATATATATACGTTTTGAAATTGTCTTGTAAAAAGGCTTGCTGGTTTTCTGGTGGTTGCAGAATATACTTCTCATTTCAAGCAGGGACTTCTTCCTCTAGTTAGCTGGGGCTGGGACGCGTCAATAGATAGCTTACTGGTCGTTAGTCACTGAATCTCGTTCTCGTTCGCAAACTACGAGAACCCGTGATATCTCTCTCTTTCAAAACCTAACAGAATAACACTAAGCTTACTGATTATGTAAAAGATAAATACTGAATACAACTGCGATCCATCTCAGGACATTCTACTTTACGCACTAAACTATAATTATTTTTATTCTTATTATTGTTACTCCTAATGGAGCATAGGTCGCCGACCAGTATTCTCCGACCTACTCTGTCCTGGGCCTTCTTTTCTAGTTCCATCCAGTTCTTGTTCATTTTTCTCATATCTATCTCTATTTCCCAGCGTAATGTGCTCTTTGGTCTTCCTTTTTTCCTTTGGCCTTCAGGATTCCATCTCTAAGACCCCAGCCAGGGAGTCGTGAAGGACCAACAGAAGCTAGCCCTTTGCAGCTTTCTTTCATACCACGACACCATGTCATTTACTGACCACCTCTCCGCTTTTTCCAACCAGTCGCAGAGTCGGCAAATAATGCACGACGAGGAATTCTCTGGGACGACATTCGTAGAACATGTCCAACCCACCGAAGTCGGTGTTTTAAGATGGTGACACCAATTTCATTATCATCTCTGTGACCGAACAAACGATGCCGGACCTCTGCATTACTAACATGGTGTTGCTACTGAATGTCAGAAATCCTTCGGAGGCAACGATTATCAAACACAGAAAGTCATCTAACATCCTCAACTCGGAGGCTAGGTTTCACAAGCATAGAGCAAAACTACTCTCACCGACGCGTTGTAGATCCGACCTTTTACAGCCAGACTAACATCACGAAGGCGCCAAAGATGGCCCAGATTGGCACCATCCAGGATGAGTATAGGATTAGAATCCTGCCAGTCTTGTAGTACTTTGTATTTCAAAGGTGCAACGCACATACTCAAGGTCGAGAAGTCTACCTAATGGTAGTTTTATGGATTAAATGGCCAGTTAAATTTATCGATGAATAGTTATCAATACTTTAAAATGGTAATCATAACTGTGAAGTTCAATGCCAAATATTAAAAAAAATTCACAATGTCATTCTTGGAAAATAAAAATTAACGTCATTGAGAGTGTTCACGTGATGAAAGAAAAGATTAAAATAGAGCATATATTATTTGAAGGTCACCAAATTTTCGACAGCATCAGGTAGAGAGATGATATTTACTTACTTACACCTGGAGCATAGGCCGCCGACCAGTATTCTCCGACCCACTCTGTCCTGGGCCTTCTTTTCTAGTTCCATCCAGTTCTTGTTCATTTTTCTCATGTCTATCTCTATTTCCCGGCGTCATGTGTTTTCTTATCTTCCTCTTCTCCTCCTTTGGCCTTGAGGATTCCATGTGAGGGCTTGTATTGTGATGCAGTTGTATGGAATCCTCAATGTGTGTCCTATCCATTTCCAGTGCTTCTTCCTGATTTCCTCTACCACTGGGATCTGATTTGTTCTCTCCCAGAGTAGGTCTTTGCTGATAGTGTACGGCCAACGAATCCGAAGTATTTTGCGTAGACAACTGTTAATAAACACTTGTATGTACTCGATGATGGCTTTCGTAGTTGTCCAGGTTTCCACCCCATACAGTAGAACTGCCTTGATATTTGTATTGAAAATTGTGATCTTGGTGTTGTTTGACAGACAGTTGTTTTGAGTTCCAGATGTTCTTCGATTGTGGATATGCTGCTCTTACTTTGCCGATCCACACCTTCACATCTGCATCAGATCCACCGTGTTCATCGATGATACTGCCCAAATATGTAAAAGTTTGTACATCTTCCAAATCTTCTCCGTCAATTGTGATTGGATTGGTGCATGTTGTGTTGTATCGGAGAATCTTGCTTTTCCCTTTGTGTATATTGAGACCTATTGCTGCTGAGGCTGCTGCTACACTGGTCGTCTTCTCCTGCATTTGTTGTTGCGTTTGCGATAGATGAGCCAGATCATCTGCGAAGTCTAGATCGTCCGACTGCATCCTAGATGTCCACTGTATCCCGTGCTTCCCTTCACATGTTGACGTCTTCATGATCCATTCGATCACCAGGAGGAAGAGAAAGAGTGAGAGTAAGCAACCTTGCCTGACACCGGTCCTTACTTCGAACGACTTTGTCAACTGTCCTCCATGAACGATTTTGCAGTTTAATCCATCATAGGGATTCTGTATGATATTGACTAAATTCCGAGGCACGCTGTAGTGTCGAAGGAGCTTCCATAGTGTGGTTCTGTCCACGCTATCAAATGCCTTTTCATTGTCAATGAAGTTGATATATAGAGATGAATTCCATTCAATTGATTGTTCTACAATGATCCGTAGAGTTGCGATTTGGTCTGTATACGATCTATCCTTACGGAATCTTGCCTGTTGGTCTCGAAGTTGGGCGTCTACGGAGTCCTTCATCCTGTTTAACAATACCCTGTTGAAGACTTTACTGGTATTGAGAGAAGAGTGATTCCCCCGTAGTTATCGCACTTGCTGAGATCGCCTTTCTTTGGTATTTTGACTATAAGTGCCTGTTCCTCATTCCAAATCTTTCTGAAGAGAATGTGGAATATCCTTGCAGTTACCGCTACGTCTGCTTTCAGTGCCTCTGCTGGAATGTTGTCTGGCCCTGCTGCTTTGCCACACTTGATTTGTCTGATGGCCATGCTGATCTCTTCAATTGTTGGTGAGTCAACATCGATTGTGAGGTCTGTGGGTGCTGCTTCGATGTTGGGTGGGTTCAGTGGGGCTGGTCAATTCAAGAGTTCTTTGAAGTGTTCTACCCACCTGTTCCGTTGTTCTTCATTGTTGGTGATTACCTTGCCTTCCTTGCTTTTCACTGGTCGTTCTGGTTTACGGTGATTTCTAGAGAGTTTCTTTGTTGTTTCATACAGTTATCTCATGTTTCCTTCTCTGGCAGCCTTTTCCGCCGTCACTGCTAAATCTTGCACATATTTACGTTTGTCAGATCTGATGCTCCTCTTCATTTGCTTGTTTACTTCTGTGTATTCAGCCTGTGCCTTGGTTTTTTCTGCTCTTGTTCGGCTAGTATTGATTGTTGCCATCTTGTTCCTCCTTTCTTGAATCTTATCCAGTTTATCAACAGTGATCCGTTTCTTGTGATGGTGATTCTTGTGGCCCACCACCTCACGACATGCTGAAGTGATTGCCTCTTTTATACCCTTCCAGTTGCTCTCTATAGTAGTTCTGCAGTGAAAAAGAACACCAATGGGGACGATCAAATGTATTAAGCCCAAAATCACAGAGTTAATTGGTAAAATAGAAAAACCATATAGTAAATCGATAATTTGCTAAATATTAATCCATCATATCAAACTGGACTGTTCCTGTTGCAAACATCAATCGATTGTTTGACATTTCATTGTTCATGCGTTTTCATACAAATTGCATTGTGTTCCCGCTCTTCCTTTCTTGATCTTCCCCCATCTTCTGCTGCCAGACATTACGTTTTTAACTCGCGTCATATACTACTTATATCAATATAAGTAGCGCGTACCACAGTTCCTTCTCCATTGAGTAGATCATTAAAGGCCTGGAACTTATTGCTGAGGGCTATCTTGAATTTGTCGAGTTTGTCAGTATCCCGAAGAAGAGCTGTATTTAATTTTTGTGATATTGTCCGCCCCATTGTTCAGTGCCTCTTGAGTTTCAATTTCATCTTGGCGACCAGCAAGTGATGATCTGATGCTATATCAGCTCCTCTCTTGGTTCTCACGTCTTCCTGAACTCTTTATTGATGCAGATATTGTCAATTTGGTCTTGCGTAGTGTGATCCGGTGAAGTCCATGTGGTTTTGTGAATGCGTTTATGTGTGAATATAGTGCCGCCTATGACCAGTTTACTGAAGGCACATAGGTTTGCAAACCTCTCACCATTTTCGTTCCTTTCTCCGAGTCCGTGTCGTCCCATGATGTCTTCATATCCGGTGTTGTCCATTCCAACCTTGGCATTTAAATCTTCCATCATAATGGTCAGGTCCTTTGTTGGGCACTTCTCGACGATTGACTGTAGCCTATCGTAGAATTTATCTTTAGCGTCTTCATTGTAGTCGTTGGTAGGCGTGTAGCATTCGATGACGTTCATCGAAATGCCCTCTTTCTTTGTTTTGAAGGAGGCTTTGATGATCCTTGGTCCTTGAGATTCCCATCCTATAAGTGCATTTTGTGTTTGTTTGGACAGCATCAATGCAACTCCTTGTGTATGTGGGGCATTTTATTCATCGTGGCCGGAGTATATATATATATTGTAGAGGTAAATAATTCCCCAAAATCAAATAGCTCTGTAGGTTTTCGACATTGGATGCTGACCACAGTTTTAGTGGACTCATTTAGCTGAAGGCGCTCGGTCAAGCATCCGCACCAGATCACGTGTGGGAACGCCGTGCTCAACACCTGCCGCAATCGCTAGCCAGATTAGTGCAAACGATCCTCGATATATTGATAGCTTATCAAATATATCTTCGATCTCCTCACTTCTGTCTTTTGATTTTACTTGGTGGGTGCGCTTCGTATTAGAAGGTGTCACTGGTTAAAGCGTTGTCAAACTCCGAATACCTGTGGCATCTTTATTGGTGAGCCCGACGTGATCTGGTACACCATATTGTAAACTGTGAGTCTGTTCCTTTTTGTGATTTTATATATCATTGTCTTATTTTAATTTTTTTAACATTGTGATATTTTTTCCCGTGTTTTTGGGTTTATATATATATTTCCCACTCGTTCACTTTTCGTACTTGATATATTATTATGACTGAACAGACCCCTAAAGTATTTAATTTAAAGACTCTGTCCCCACCCTCTTTCCAACTTATGCTTTTCTGGCCAGACAACATCGTAGCCTGGTTTTGTTACGCAGAAGCCGACTTCTTCGAGCACGGTGTGAACGATGCGCGTATACAATTCCTCGCAGTAGTCAAGGCACTACCGCGCGAATTTAACAGGTACGTAACACCTAGTATGTTTATTAGTGATGTTTCTGATCCATACCGAACCCTGAAA